TAATTCTATCAATCTAGATTATATTTATCCAAGTACCCAAATCTGTACCCACATTCTGGTTTATGCCTCTGATCCACGTGGCACTGGTCACACGTGCGATATGATTGGGTGGAGGCATTATGGGTAGGGAAACACTGTCACATTAGAGAAGAGTTCAATTAATGTCTGCCACCTGACACTGGACATTTCCTTCAAGAGGTAGAAGGGGGTGAATGCAATTGGATTTCTTGCTGTATAACATACATCACATTTCATCCCACGTTAGGTGCATTTGAGTGAGTTGCTGCCAATTGTGACAAATCGTGTTACTCCATGATATAATGTTGTACCACCTTCCTCTGAAGAGACATATCTTGTTCCCTTCTTGTTTGATGTTATATAAATTTCTTACACTTGACTCCAGGCTTTGGAGGACAGTATCGGATAATATTTCAATAAAGTGTATTCTGATGTATTTGCATTTATATCTGATTCTCTTTTGAAATGCTTGTATATTATTATAATTGACAAAAGCAAATTAAGCAAAAGCTTAAACTGTTGTCTACAGGTATTTGGTGTTAATGATTAAATAAGCAGAAACTCAATTTTTGGGCTCAATTCTTGAATACACTCAATAAATGTGTGTGTAAATTATATGAAGTCCCAATGTTGCAAGTACCGTTTCCATAAATCAATGTTTAAATTTACAAACCTTTACGTTAATTTATGTCTAAATTTGCATAGCTTTAAAAAAAAGATATGTCTAAATTTGCATAACTTTTATGTAAATATATGTCTGTATCTATGGATCAGTAAAGTTTTTAAAGGTACTGGGGTTTTTTTCAGTGAGAGCTGTGTTACCTATGACAGCACCATTTAGAAGCTGAACATGCAGTATGAGATTTCACTTATAAAATTTTGCACCATCAGATCTACAAGTAACAGACAGCTACATTGTAAATGCTAGGTTTATTGTCCTTCTGCCTTGACAATATTAAAACCAAACTAAAGTACTGTCGGAAATGCTAGAAAACTGCTTTTTGCCTGTTAAAAAGGGATATAATTTTTCACAGACTGTTATTGAAATATCGAGTAACTACCGATCGCCCTACCTGTGCTTTGAAGTATTTCAGTCACAAGGAGTCCTATCAACAAGTTTACAGGAGACAAATTCGAACGAAAACATGAAGTTCACATTTATTCTAAGTCCAATGATGGCAGTCTGTAATGGACTATAGAAATATGCGCACGTGACTCCGTTACAATGATAATAATGTAGTCTTCATAAAACATCTACTCCACACACAAAAATCATTTTGAGAAAATTCTAGATGCTGCATTTTTTTGTGTTAACATTGCTCCCATGATGCATGTTACATTACACTTGCATAGCCATAACCAAGGTACACGATATGGAATCTGTACTTGGAAATGCATACAAGATCTTTACACTTTAGAGAGATAGAGGGAAACCATTTATTAATTTAGATAGGGTGAATTACCGAACTGCCCAAGCTATGGTGCTTTCAATTCATACCATCAAGTCTACGGTATGATAAGAAAACAAAACAGGTATAAGGGTGGTCTCAAAAACAAAACTGGGGCGTAAAAAGATTTAGACAATGCTTTGATACAGGGTGATTAGGCGTATAGTGTACAAGCTTTATGAGCAGAAGGTAACCCTGACTTGTAGTAGAATTTGGGAAGAATTAAAGATACAATTAATGTTTCCCGAACTGTACTAACTATTGCTCGCAAAGAGATGGGATTTCAATACACTGCGTGTGACAATGACCGAGCACTTTTCAGGGGAAAATATTCCATCCTGTCTCTGAGGTCAGATTATCTCCGAACCATTCATAACTATCACAGTCAGGGCGTTCAGATAATTTATCTTGGTGAATCATTCCACTGACTACATTTGGCTATTGGCAGATGGATAAAAAGCACCCATGGTACCATCAGATAAAGGTAATCGTGTCATTGTTTTTTCACACTGCAACCCATGATATGGGTCTAATTGATGGATGTTTTCGAGGCGAAAAAGAAAACTGGTGATTTTCATAAGGACATTATAGGAGGTGATGTGTTCATAGACTGGTTGGAACTTCAGCCATTGCCCATTTTAAACAACGTCAGTGTGATTGTCATGGGTAACGCCAGTTAATATAACGTCCGGGAATCAGATACTGTCGCCCAAACCATGAGTAGTCTGAAGGCGACCATACAGGAATATATGACATTGGTCGACTTCAGACCATATGAAACCAAAGTTCAACTCATGGAGAAAATTCGGCTGAATAAGAAACCAGTTAAGTACAAGACATATGTGCTGGCGGCACAACACGGTTACGTTGTGTACAGCAGTCCCGACATTGTGAGCTCAACCCTGTTGTGTCTATCTTGGCTAAATGTACAGGGTTCGAGGCAAGACAAAACACAACATTCAAAAGTACAGATTCATATACGTCATCTGCGGAGATAAATGCTACCTCAAGAAACCATCTGTAGAACAACAAATACTTCTGGATTCCAAAACCGCAACCTTCCAATACCCATCCCGTTTCATAGCTCTTAACTAGTCCATCATGTTTCCAAGCAAATTTGATGCAGTACATATCCTAAATTCCTACCTCATCAACGCATGTCAATTAAGTACAATAACAGCAATATTTTGAGACCATCCCCAGCTCTGTGACATTTGCAACTGGGAGAATGCACGGGACTGTGTGAGGTCATCACCTCGGGACTGGTGTTAGGTAATTACCTCAGGTTATAGGCCATTTCATACATGCATGACAACACACGAATATTTTCTAAGTTTATCATCATTTTACCTGTAAAAGTACATTTTAAGGGTAATCACAGTGTCAGTTAGGACAGGCTAGATTAGGGCAATTCATGTCATTTTGATTTATGCTCTTTTTATAGTCCTATGACACCTGTCCTGTGGGTGAGAAACCCATTTGAGATAACTGGTATCAAACATATGTGTGAGATCGAATTCCAGGCCCGTGATTGGCTACTCCATGGTGATGACCTGAGGTCAGATGATGACGGACTACTTTCCTGAGTGTGAGTCATTCATAAGTTGCTCGTTCTTCAGTCGAATGTTCACCTACATCTGTATTGAACCACAGAACCACAATTGATTATAAAAATAAACAAACTCGTCCTCGTCTGCGAGTTTGTTTGGTATTATTATCAGTTACATTATCTGTTGTTATGTCATCATTATCGGGTTTTTTCAGAGTGTAACCCCCCTGGATACCACAGCGACACATATGTCCCTCCTCTTCAACCCTCACTTCGAAATCGAATAAAATTCAAAATACATCACGCAGACTAATACACTTCATGTGCACAGTTTTGAATTCCCCCTTCTGTTTATCATTTACTGTCATTTTAGGCAATTCAAAATTACTGAAAGTGACTTCTGAAAATTAGATACATTGTAAACCTCGCCAAATCACAATTCACGGCGTTATATAAATATATATTGTGTGTTTAGAAATCTAAATATCGGATATTTACTCGAATAATTAAAGTAGAAAACTAGCATATTAGCGATCACGGGTATCAAATCACTACTGATAATTCTGAAACGTCGCTGATAAGCCCAGAATCGTTTAGAATGTTTTGGAAATTACGCATACACGAACGCCGAAGTGTACGTTCCGCCATATTGGATTGGATTGTGTTTACAAAATTATGAGACGCCTATTCGATCAGGTATATTTCAAACTCAGCTGCTATACATGCATCCCTGAATTCCTCATACATTTTCGAAACAATGCATAAATGGTCTTTGTCACCAATGCAAATTATCTAGATGAAATCATACGAAATAAATTAGGTATGGAAACGAAAACTGTGCTCGGAAAACTGTACTTGTAAATGTAAACAAAGCAAAATTCAGATTTTACACTGTGTAGCATTTGTAGAGGTACCTTCGTCTAATTGGTGCATACATTGGCTCAATCACGCGTTTGAGAATATTCATGGGAAGAGTATCGTTGCACTAACTATGGTAATAAACATATACACATTACAATCTTGTGGTAAATTCAACAGGAGCCGTAAACTTTTCCGTCCTGTGTGACGCCACGACTGACGCTAAATCACGCACAACGACGACGGTAGTTATCTGATTTTCTGACTAATTCTCCTTGTTACATTGGAAAACATGGTAAACAAATAACAGTACACAGATTGTCAGAATGTTTCTGATTACTTACGTGAAACATTTATGTGTATACGATCCCACAATCAACGAAAATCCTCCTCTGGAAATCCCACGTACTGTTGTCAGTGAACACGTCATATTGTGAACGTCGGTCACCGGTAGTGATGTCATACGGAAGTAAACACTGTTGTACATATTTGGAAATTTCTTTGAGGTGTCAACTTTCAACTTGGCACCCAGCGTGTTCTTTGTTTTTGTCTAGTTTGCATTTTCATCATCGCCTTGATATTCCACAGATAAGACGGAAACCTTTTTGTGTAGGGTCACATTATTTATGAGAAGTAAGCAGCACATAGGATGACGTCACTTATGACAGTGGTGTTATGTATTAATGCGCTACTACAATCATGAGAATAGACAAAATTCATCGGTTCGATGCTAAAAAGGTGCGATTTTAGAGTGTGTAAGAAACAGATAACTGCACTCGTGCCTGTCAGATACCATTGATCTTACAACTCGTTGTTACAAATCGTATCTAACTCGCTTTCGCTCGTTAGATACGTTTTGAGACACTCGTGTAGTAATCTCTGTTTATTAAATGAAGCCAGAAAAGCAGTTTTCTAGCATTTCCGACAGTACTTTAATGCAATCAGACTATGGTAGATCTTCGGTGCTCAGTTTGAGCTTCATGAAACTGTATTCTAATTGGCTACACCCCTAACTACTGATTTGGGAATGCTAGTCAGTGTCAGAAAACATTTGGAGTAAATGAATACATACACAGAGTAACTGTATTTTGATAAATGATAAGTAAAAATTGTTTCTTTTGTGACAGAAATTGTGCAAGTGGACCGACAGCAGTGTTAAACTGAGCAGCATGGACAGACACACTATGAGCCAGGTAATATCAGTCATTGTGTTATACTGTACAACATGCAGGAGGACATGGTGCTCAAACCCTTCCACCCTGTCATCATTAGCTCATCTGGCCTGGTGGGAACTAATCAGATTTCAGTGCAATTTCTAAGATGCTTCACAGAAAGAACAAAGGTGCTGACATTACTTTTTCTTCACATTTACTGAGTTAAATCAAAATGCTTTTCAAATTACCACCCCTGTAATATAACGTATCCTTGGTAATATAGGTCTGTCCTTCCTGTCAATCAAGATGGCGCATCCTTATTTGTTGATCGGAAAAATAGTTTCATACAGTGAATTCGATAAAACTCATTATTTAGTTAACAATCATGGGAAGGAAAAGCAGCCATGCTTATATATTGTAGAAAATGTAATGGTGACAGTTGCGTTGTTAAAAGTTTAAATCTGTACCTTGTTAAAAGATATCAGACAAATAGGCTGGATGCTTTGTTTCCACATCATCTTGTGAATCTGATGTCAGATTGTTGGTATTCTCAGCGGCCAATGGGTCAAAACAGTCTTGAAAAGATGTCAGCCAACTCCCACACTTTGGAGTTTCCCCAAACCATTGTGGCTGTACCAGCAGCACAGCTCTATGTCTGCTTTGGCCCATGCACTTTTAGAATGTTTAGTGTCTCATTTTTCAGCTTTAGATAATATATAATATAGCAGGCATACATTGTATGTGTCACTTGTACATTGCATATACTTTGAAGATCTGGGGAAGGACAGGTCTTCAGCAACCCATGCTTGCCATAAAAGGCGTCTACGCTTGTCATAAGAGGCGACTAACGGGATCGGGTGGTCAGACTCACTGACTTGGTTGATGCATGTCATCGTATCCCAATTGCATGGATTGATGCCCATGATATCAATCACTGGATTGTCTGGTCAAGACTCGATTATTTATAGACCGCCGTCATATAGCTGGAATATTGCAGCGTTAAACAAAATTAAAATCAAACAAACATCATGCTAATTGTTCTACTCCTGAAATTCCACACCCCAAGGAGCTTAGTCGTGAATCTGCACTGACGATACTATTTGTCAGTCTAATATGTGACAATTAACTCCCACAAGCTGATACAGACTGCTTTCAAATCTCAACCTCTGCCTACAATAACATCACTCTGCCCACTTACATCATCAAAACAATCTGTAGACAACTACACAGTACTCAGCTTATCACATAACAAGATTGACACCCAGCTCATCTCACAATAAACTGCAGTCTGTTTGGCTTGAAATGAGAACGATGAATACCCTGAACACAGATATTGTTGGGTACAGGGTATTCATTGCTGTTCTGGGTACAATGTGTAAAGCACATTTCTGGTGTCCTCCACCGTGATATTGCTGGAATATTGCTAAAAACAACGTAAAAAACAATACTCACTCACTCACTCACTCATTGCCGTGTACCATATTGACATTTAATAGACTATTCCCTATTTTAGTTATTTTGCAATATATCTTCTCATTTGGAGCCAAACAGACTGTAGTGACTTTAATATATATATAAATGTCCTTGTGACCTTGACAGTATGCTTGTTTTGATTGCCTGCCTTTTAATCACATGTTTATTTCTTGCAGTTGATGCAGCCCTTGCTGCGTCTTAGACAAGCATGTTGTCATCCACAAGCAGTGCGTGGGGAGTTCCTCCCAATACATAAAAAGTATGTAGTAAACATCGGGGTTTATCTGTAGAAAGTTACTTTTTCACTTTTCTAAGTTATCCTGCATTACTCCTTAATGCATTAACTGCTTGTTCTACATAAGGCACAAGGATCAGTGAGTGTCTGATGGTGCACCTCTGATAGTAAACGGCTTCTCCTTGACAGAGCTTACGACCTCGTTACACCTATTCGTCGATGACTCTCTTCAAGGATTGGGAGCACATCTGGAGGGTCAAGTTGCCTCAGGGCTGTGGTCCACCGTCAACAACAGTGGCACATCAACAACCTGGAACTAGAGCTGCTCATACTGCCTCTCTCGCTCTGGACACTCCAGTGCGCTCAGATCACCATATCTATGGACTACACCGTTGGTCAATCGTTCTGGTTTTTCCATCTATTTGATCAGCTGTAACTCCAGTCTTGGGTCCAACACATCCCCGGTTGTCGCAACAGGACAAGGAAGCTCACACACAGTGGAAACTCCATCTGGATGCCTTGTCTGTCAGCACCTAAGCCACCCCACCCCAACATCGACCTGTTTGACACCAGCCAGAACTACCAGGTTGAGACCTTCATATCACCAGTACTGGATCAACAGGCTTGGGCAGTAGACAGTGTCCCCTGTGAAGGACTAAAAGCATATGCTCTTCCGCCGCCAGGGTGCTTCAGAAGATCAGATCGACCCAGAGCCGCATTCTGACTTTGATCGTGTCTTGGTGGCCAGCGAGAGGCTGGTTCGTGGATCTCAAGGAGATAACTGCCGGCAATCCCCTCACAGCAAACGGCCCGATCAGGCTCCGGACAGGTTACATCTGCAGGCTTGGTCCATCTACAAAGAGCCTTAAGTGCCACATGCTGTTCGGCTAGAGTGGTGAGGGCAATTACCCTAGTGCAAAGACCATCTACCAGGAGTCTGTATGACAATAAGAAGCGCTCCTTTGAGAGGCTTTATGAAGAAAAACACCAGGATCCCACCTCTGTGTCTCCCCAATTCTTGCACGAATTTCTACTTTTTTTGCGTCACAAGCGTCGTCTGAAGGGCAGCACCATCATGCCCTACCATGTGGCCCTCAACTCTGTCTGTGCAGTTCTGGAAGATCGGAAAATGACAAAGATTCAGGAACTTAAACCTTTACTACACTCCTCCTGGCATGAAGACCAAAAGGCCAAGTTTCAACCCCCAGCATGGCTTCGCGTCATCATTCCTCAGGCCCATGAGGCTGCGGGACTGGATCCTCCCAGAACCAGCAACCAGCACGAAATCCGGGCAGTTGCCTCCACCATGGCAGTTAACAGCAACTGTTCCATACACGCCATTATGGAAGTCTGCTTCTCGCGATCTGACGCTGTCTTTGCCAGTCACTACCTGCAAGGTGTTGCAAGGCGTACACAGCTTTGGTCCTTTGGTGGTAGCCCAACATGTCACCACTACAAGACACCATTGACGCTTCCACATGTCCAAACCTGGCTGTGCGACCTTTTGTTTTTACTTCTGAAGGTATGCCCGCCATCAGATAAAGTGGGATACCTTCAGATAAAGATGCATTAAGGAGTAATGCAGGATAAATTAAAAAATCTAGTCAAATCTAGATTTATCTTTGTATACTTATCCTGCATTACTGTGTCTAAAGTGGCCCACCTGTCGCAGAGCTGCCTCCCATTACGATGTCTTCAGGTGCTCTGTTTTTAGCAGTAATGTGCTGATCAGTGACATCACCCCTTCCATTCAGCTTGTTGAAACATGCTTTTCCTCAACAAGACCTCAAACAGCTCTTTTTCTCTGTCAAGAACAAGCAGTAAGTGCATTAAGGAGTAATGCAGGATAAGTATACACATATAAAAAACATCTAGGATTTTACTAGGTTTGTGTTTAACATCCACCTCGTACATTTTGTTTTTTAAGTTTTCACTATGTTTTACAGAGACTCCATGTGTAAGTTCTGGTGTATGATTGCATGGCTGTAGGTTTCAGCATACCTGAACCAAGGTTGAGCTCTTGATGATTTGGGATTTTTCTTGTTTTGTTTTCATGAATTTTCATGATGTGGGATTTTGACAAATACTGAACAGCATAATTTTTTCTTCACTGGACTGAAGGTATCCATGACAATGAACAAAAAGTGGGGCATAAGTGGCCAAATCTATTTCCGATTTTGCACAGACCAGGGGAGATGACTCGTTTCATTTCTGATATACACAAAGAAAAAAGTTAAGCACACCCCTATTTCTGAACCATGACAAATGGCAAAAATCATGCCATGGGATGACTGACCACAGGAGCTGGGCGACAAATAAAGAAGATATTGGTGAGTTGTGATTGAAATTTACTTACAAAAACATCATGGTAATACAGGTATTGTTTTTGACCTAAGACAATACCAAAAAAAGTATGGAGCTGCAGGATTAAATATATGAGTTACGTTTGATTCTTTCATGTGAAAAAGTTCCTTAAAGTCTCTACTTGACATGACACGTGAAACAGATCAGTAGCAGGTATAACCGGAACTTGCCGGATGACACATTCAATTCTACGTCTCATGCTTCCAGACACGTTGGATCTGTTGATGGGTCAACAACAACCACTCCTGATGCAATGCTGCTTCCAATTGGCGTAAATCTTGTACAGGAGGATCTCGTGCCTGTATGCGCCAACCCAGAATATCCCAAACATGTTAAAGAGGTTTCAAATCTGGGCTCATTACTGGCCAGGGTAGAGTCGTTATTGCATTGGCCCTCATGTAATCCACGACTGCATGCGAACGATGGCATTGTCATCCATGTACTGAGGTCGAGTAGCAAGAGGGTGGTTGTCAAAATGAGGAACGACGACTGGCCTCAAAATGTCCTGGATGTACTGAGCCCTGTTAAGCTGACCCTTATGGTGACCAAATCCAACCTGCAATCATGAGAGATACACCCCCAAACCATTACCGAGCCCTCGCCGTATGCAACAGTCGGTTTAATGTTCCTGGGGGTGTAGGCAGTGTTCCATTGCCTCTAAACTCTCATTCTTCAATCAGTGATGTTGAGCAGAAAGTGACTTTGGTCTGACCAATGGATCCGTCTCCAAGTTTTCAGATTCCAGTTCTGTCGCGCTATACACCATGCTAAACGAGCAGCCTTGTGGTGATCTCTCAACCAGGGATGCTTTATAACTCGTCCAGCGCTCAGTCCTGTTGTTTTCAGCCGGTTCCTGACTGTTCTGGTGCTGAAACGACAATTGGGCAACAGCAGCTGTTTCAGACGAGTACTTGTTAAAAAGACTTCTCGGCATATGTCTTCGTGCTGTGTTGTCACAGGAGGTCTTCCAGATCTGGGATGGTCCTGTACATCACCGGTCTGAGCATGTTTCTCGACTAAACGGCTTACGACAGTGTGGGGATTATTTGCCATCTTGTGGCGTTTGATAATCGCCTTCGTGCCATGGTCACACAATGTCATGGAATAACTGTTTAAAACCGAGCTTAAGAAAGCAATCTTAACGTTAAGATATACTGCTTTTTGAGATACTCGAGGGTAGCATGCTGCACTGGCATACCATGCATGGCACGTGAGCTTTCGTCACGCATGACTGACTACATAATCTCAAGAAAACATAATTCTTCCCGTAATTTTACCTGTCATGACTGTTACAAATATTGGGACCAAACAATAATGAAATATATTAGGGTGTGCTTAACTTTTTCCTTTGTGTATATATTAAAGGTTAATCTTGATTTGACCTTTGTGTTTTGACCATCTGCTCTTCAATTGTCTCAAATGCATTCTTGGGTCTGTAACCATCATCTACTCAGAACCCAGTCGACCACTGAAGCTTCATATGCTTGATCTCAACAATGCCACGCCAGTTAGTGGAGGGGCTTAGGACATAGGTTCTATGTTCTAGTTAGTAGTAGGACTCATGACATAGGTTCTATGTTCTAGTTAGTAGCAGGACACAGGACAGAGATTCTATGTTCAGTTAGTAGCCACACTCAGGACATAGGTTCTATGTTCAGTTAGTAGCCACACTCAGGACAGAGATTCTATGTTCAGTTAGTAGCCACACTCAGGATATAGGTTCTATGTTCAGTTAGTAGCCACACTCAGGACAGAGATTCTATGTTCAGTTAGTAGCCACACTCAGGATATAGGTTCTATGTTCAGTTAGAAGCATGACTCAGGACATAGGTTCTATGTTCAGTTAGAAGCATGACTCAGGACATAGGTTCTATGTTCGGTTAGTAGCCACACTCAGGACATAGGTTCTATGTTCCGTTAGTAGCAGGACACAGGACAGAGATTCTATGTTCAGTAAGTAGCCACTCTCAGGACATAGGTTCTATGTTCTAGTTATTAGCAGGACTCATGACATAGGTTCTATGTTCTAGTTAGTAGTAGGACTCATGACATAGGTCTATGTTCTAGTTAGTAGCAGGACTAAGGACAAAGGTTCTATGTTCTAGTTAGTAGCAGGACTCAGGACATAGGTTCTATGTTCAGATAGTAGCGGGACTCAGGATATAGGTTCTATGTTCAGTTAGAAGCATGACTCAGGACATAGGTTCTATGTTCGGTTAGTAGCCACACTCAGGACATAGGTTCTATGTTCAGTTAGTAGCAGGACTCAGGACATAGCCTCTATGTTCAGTTAGTAGCAGGACACAGGACATAGGTTCTATGTTCAGTTAGTAGCAGGTCCCAGGATATAGGTTCTATGTTCAGTTAGTAGCAGGACACAGGACATAGGTTCTATGTTCAGTTGGTAGCATGATTCATGAAATAGGTTCTATGTTCAGTTAGTAGCAGGACACAGGACATAGGTTCTATGTTCAGTTAGTAGCAGGACCCAGGATATAGGTTCTATGTTCAGTTAGTACCAGGGCTCAGGACATTGGTTCTATGTTCAGTTAGTAGAAGGACTCAGGACATAGGTTCTATGTTCAGTTAGTAGCAGGACTCCGGACATAGGTTCTATGTTCAGTTAGTAGCGGGACAAAGGACAGGTTTTAGGTTCAGTT